AAGCATCTGGTGATGGGCTTTCCCGGGAGAGGCAGGGAACAAAAAGCACATGGATTCAGCCTCTGCTAGCCTGGCAGAAGCCAAGTTCCTTCCTCTCTCTCCCTCTCCTTTGTTTTACAGTAAATTTAGCAGAAATGATCCATATCCTCCCAAGCAAAGTGCCCGCATTCCTTGAAAGACACAGACATTTTGTTCTTAATAGGAAATGAAGACATGGGATAGCATGGAATAAATACAAGTAAAGTTACAGGACAAATAGGGCAGGCAATAAAAGACCACATACAAAAGAAAAGAGGAGTCACAACTGGCTTGTCCTTATGTATCCTCTCATCTGTCTAACTCTGCTTTCGTGCGTGCCCTCCTGCTCTCCCTCCCTCCCTCTCTCGCGGGGTGTTTTCAAACACGCTGCGGTGCCAGGCAGACCCTTTTTGCAGCACGTGCCTGCAAGCTGCTCCCAAAAAACAGGGCCACGCAGCCCCCGGGCCGTCCCGCCGCGCTCACCTGCCGCAGCGACGCATCTAAAATCTCTGCTTCTCTCCCACAGCAGCAAGGGCACAGGGAATTCCCTGGATTCTCACCTATGCCAATGGAAACACATAACAGCACAGTGATTTCAGCTCTCTGCTAACAGCTACTGAGCGGTGGGTGTCAGTGCCCACATCCCCTCCAGCCCAGCCTCCCTCCTCTGCCCTTTCCACTCCTGGCTGCAACTGGAGAGCAAAGGAAACAGCCGATCTGTAAAGACCATGGCAAGATTCAAACAGTGCTCGGGCACAGAGCAAAGTTACATTTTCCAAGGAGGCTGCACGATCCTTGGTCTGCAGGGAACAGGCAGTTAAAAATAATTCCCTGAGCAGAAGCCACTCGAGCAGTTGGGCGGCTCAGTGGAAGGGGCTGGACGGTCACGCACGGAGCCACCAGGACAGCATTCCCAGGGACTGCAAGAACACCGAGGCCAAGGCTTCCTCATGTTTTTAGAAAGGAGGCAGCCCTGTGCTTTCCGAGAGCTTACAGAAGAGGCTGCAGCTGTAAAACACTCACAAATAGAGTTAATATAACTGCAGGTGTCCATCAAAACCAGTTAATGCAACGTGAAGGGTTATTGCATGCTCAGGAGGTGCCTCTTCAATGACACACACAACCTCACGCGCTGTGAAGCTGTGGTCACTAATTCTGTTATGATTGAAGTCATTTACAAGAAGTGAGGCTCCAGCTGCAGTCAGCACTGATGCTATTTTGAACAGCCAAGAAGAAAGTGTCCCCTAGGGCAACATGCTGACGGTATCTAGATATCAATACTCCTCACCCAGCTTGTACTTCATCCTCTCCTGAGCAATTCATTCACCTCCTGATGGTTCATTTCAGACCCAGTGTCACCCTCCTGCACTGGGCTCTCGTTCAGTCCCTCGCCCTCCAGCTGTCTTCCCATTACAGAGCTGCCAGCCATCAAGCCAGGCACTTACTCACACACTCAGAGACAGAGCAGCTCCGTCCTGACGCCCTATTGCCATCAGTGCAATCAAAATGCAAAGTGACAGCACGTGAAGCAGCTGCCAGGGTGCTTCTCTTGACTGCATAGAAGCCCCTTTCAGACCTTCTCATTGCCACTTAATTGTGTCCTACCCACATCATCTCACTGTATATGACTTGTTCCTCAACAGCCGTTTCCCAGCTTATTAGCCATATTTGCTACACCTGGCTTCAATTTTTTCTTGCTGTCACCATGGAAGAGAGGAAAACAGGCCCACAGAGAGCATAAAGGAAGGACCAGCCCCTCCTGCCTGTTCCAGCAAGTACACTGTGTTCAAGTATGGCAACGCAGCAAATGTCAAGGAGTCAGAATATAAAAACCTGACTGACAGAATGAGTGAGCTAGGCACATGCCTGGACGTCAGGAACATATTTTGGACTTGGCTACTGAGGAGAGAATGGTAGAGATTATGTTTGTGTATTGCAAAATAAAGAGCGTACACTCTTCGGCTCTGAGCGAAGCAGATAGCACGAGGATGGAATAGCAGCCAGAGTAAAACAATTACACAACAGGACACGCTGCTTAGTTTGCTCAGCATACTTCATTCTACTCATCTTGAGAACATTAACAAGGAAAAGTAGCATCACCCTTCTTTTGTCACTTCAGTCTCAAATACAGGTTTGTTTTGTAGCTCTCAGCCATGCAGAAACCTGGTGTCTCCAGCCATCGCGCACCAAGAGCTCCATGTCCTTCCATAAAGCCATCGTGCCTGGCCTGCTTCTGCTCCGGCTCGGGAAGGTTCCCCTTCCTTAGCACAGAGGCTTTTGTCTTTTGGTTCCCTAACTGAAAAAAAGCCGCTATGAAGATTGGTTCAGATCTTATTCTGAACAAAACCCCGCAGCTACCGTGCTACCCTTGTGGGTATGCATATTCCCTCCAAACTGGCCTGTGGAGGTAAAGCTCTGACCGAATGGTTAAAAAAAAGGGAATGTTCTTTACCCTGCTATTATATTTGTAGGCAGAGGCTTTTAACACACCGATCTATTGCTGCTTACTGTGTCTTTCACAGAAATATTTCTACAGTTTGCATTACAGGTATGTCCAAAATATCTATCAATATCTAGAGTGCATGAGTGATGCATGGCAGAGAAAGACGTGCCTTTCTCCCAATATAATCCATGCTTTTTAAGCCTATTTTTGTTACCATTTTGCACTGAATATAGTGGGCCAAAATGTGCTCAGATTTACAGTGCGATATTGGATGGCCACCAGTGTACCCTACCTGAGCGGACACTCTGAGCTAGACACCTCTGTGCTCACAGTGTGGAACTGTTACTTTTCTGAAGCCCTTTTATTTATATTATTTTACAGCACCTTTGCTGTAGCACTTGAAGCCCAGGAAAAATTCACACATTTATCCAGTTTGACTTTATAAAGAAAAGACTGCTGCATTTTCAGCTCATGAAGTCTTTTTGCAGTGCAGAAGTTATTCCTGCACAGCACACAATTACTCCTTGTGTATAAGTGAACTTTAGCAAAGCCCGTTATGAGCAATTAAACTTTAGCAGAATTTTATACAGACATCCAAGCTCAACTGAAAGACCTCAAGCAATAATGAATTTACGTTTTCTCTCTGTGTTGTTGCACAAGTTCCTACGATCCTTTGCTATTACAAAGCAATTTGTTTTTTCCAGTCATTA